TTGTATATAGTTGTTCATTTTGAAGACTTTAATTTGGGGACATGACGATGTACCAATCTCTAATAAAGAATGTTATGTACAAGAAAGTGTTTAATAATATATAAATAATTTTATTTTTATCTCAATGTTTTCTACAATAATCACATCATTCAAATAAAAAGCTTCCATTAATATTACAAGTTTGTGCATAGCCGGATTACATATAATATGTATAAAAAAATCCAAAACGTCATTTATTTGATTGATGGTCAATAAAGCCAAAATAACAAATAAAAAGAATAGGAGGAAGTATCAAATACGAATTGTTGTCTTCATAATCAATGTACGTAAGCAAGAATACTCTTAAATTGCAAAATTGTGTGGCGGATGATCATGGGTCTGGAAGTACATATGAGAGACCCCTATGATACAGAGCAAGTGCACGAAAAACCTTGTGCATAAGAAGATGGAATTTTATTATTGTATAGTAGGAGCGGAGCAATTAAAGGACGAGTGTGAGGCTAGGCCCACACTAATTTTTTCAAATTTTACTTAGGTTTATATATTAATGAAAAAATTTAATTTGCATTATGCAGGTGTATTTGGGAAGATATAATTGTATCTCTCTCTTCAAATTATAAAAAGACTTGCTGTTATCCAATTTTGGCCTCGTCTATTAAGATTTTACACGTGGATATATATATATAAAATCACGTGGATTTGTATTAAATCAATTGCTGTAATTTATCATATTGTTACGGCCCAAAAATAATATTGTTTATAATAATATCAGGGCCGACAAAAACGAATATAAATACCCCCTATAATGGGCAACTAGATGAGTCTGAGGGGGCTGACTTTTACTTTTTTTTTTTCTCTTATCTACTATGAGGAACCGCCTCAATTTTTCTCTCATTCCTTATCTTCTGTTCTTCCTTCAACAAACAAGCAGGAGGAAAAACACAGCAAAAATTCATATTAATTTTACACTGATTATTCACGGAATAGAGGTGTACATTTTTGTTGTTACAAAATCGCATAACAAAGTTTAGCGCTAGAGGAAGGGGTCGTAATTTGTTCGAGGTAGTTCTCCGACTTGAACACCACAAACGCCATCACTTATTGTTATAAACATGATGAAAACCTGATATACTCTCTATATTTTTTGTTGTATCCCTTTGTCCCTTCTCAAAAATCATATGAAAAAAGAAATCTCTCCCTCTCAGTCAACTACGTTCTACACATCCTTTCTGGTTTCAAAACAAAATAAAACAAGGAAACAAGCAGAAACAGATGTCTCGATGGCAGAATAAGCAACAAGCTCAAACCAGATGCGTGAATTGCGGTAATATCAACCGACGAAGTCGAAGGACTCCACAGTGGCAAACTCTATACCCTCTGGCCAGCCGGAGACATCCCTCAACAAGGCTTATCGCCACTGTTAGACTGAAAAATAAAGAAAAAAAAAATCTCTGCAAGTGACAGAAAGAAAAGAGTAGAAACTAATTTTGAAGATTCACGAAGTAGATGAGTCAAGCGGTGCCAGTATCAATTTTCCTTGGGCCGTAATTAAGCCACGTCACTGTTCTTATTACTTCAAAATATTGAACGACAAAAACGAGAAGAGAAAAGTTGGGGGCCGACATCACTTCATCGTGGATATCGCAGCGGACCGGGCCCGACCTCCGATTAACATCACCACCTTTGAGCCCGAATTTGCCGTCATACCCGACCTCGGATCTCTAAACAGACGGCGATCGACTTCTCTGTTGTAAACGCGAGGGCCGACCTCGGAGCACTCATGTAATAACCCAACTTCTTGTTAATAATAATGATATATTATCTTTTATCGATTTCGTTCTTTTTCAGCGAATACGTTCGACGTTAAGTCGAAAAGTTTATACGGTTAATTACTAACCGAGTTAAATTTGATAATTAATTTCCGTACCGTTTATTTTATAAACGGATGTTATTAATCGGGATTAATTGTCAAGTTAGGAATGTTCGGAATTAAGTTTGGAATCGAAATCGAATTAAGTTTCGAATACACGCAAGGTGCATTGCGCACGCACGCCATGCGCATAACAGCGCACGCATACTCATAGCACGCGCATGCACGATAAGCAGCACCCGTAACGCCCGTCATTAGGCACTAAGCGCATGCTTAGCACTCGCTAAGCATGAAGATCAGCGGATCAACCAAACACTTAAGAGCACCGTGTGGAAAATTCAAAGGAAGGAACATGGAGGCAAGTTGCTCGGATGACTCACCTACTAGCTAAACACATGGCGCGCCACGGATGCGTTAGGGATGACAAGGACTCGTGCATGCGTGACACCTCGGCGATGACTAAGCCCAACACGCCACTCATCAGCACCTGATCAAGACACTTGGCAGCAACCGAAAGCTTGTCGTCTCCCACCTCTTGACCGAGAGATTGGACCCAAAAATTACCCTCGGTTTGACCATTTTACTTAGCCATTCGTATGGAATTATCCCATACATAATCGAGTGAACTTCAGCAAGAATAGAGAAGAATAGAGTAAGGAAATATTATAAAAAAATCGCCCAAAATTAGTTAAGCAAGGCCGAAGCAAAGGAGAAGCGGGTACGCACACCTACAAGCACCGAAACCGCACGCAAGCTGTCGTGCAATACTCGACCGAACGGAAGGGTATACCCCTATTTAACCTCTTTTTATATAGTTAAGTCCATCTTATTGAGGTCATGTTAAAATCATGTTGTTTAGTTCGAGCTTCACGTGATAATGTCCTCGGAAATGCTATACAAGTCTCCCCCAATTAACTTTGATTTTAATCAATAAGTCTCGAACACTTTTTGCATAATTAAGTTATTCAGGTCAAAACATGTTCAGTTATAAGTGATCGCCGGGAAAAAGTAACCGGACGGCCGGCAAAACGCCGACCGTGACGCCTACCGCACGCGGAGGGCGCGCAGGCGCGCCCTGCAAGCCCAGCGAGTACACAGGCAGCGTGTGCGTGCCCAGTAACGCGCACGCATAACCAGTACTCGGCAACCATGTGTCGCGATACCGCAGTCGCGTGCATAGACGTGCATAGTGCACGCACGCACACTCGGCAACGCGTTATCACGACCGTTCACGTAGTCCGCGTTTACAGCGAAATGCTGCTCGCCCAGCAGCGTGCCCCGCGGCGCATGTACGCGTGCCAACAGCGCCCCACGCATGTTGGCTGAGCAACTACGCGCGCCAGTACGCCCAACAGAGTACCAGCGATGCATGACGAGTCTCGGTGATGCCCGGCAGCACACCCGAGTACTTGATGGTCCTAGTCACACAGTCCAGCGCACCAGTCGCACTCAGCAAGTGCCCAGTCGTCACTGGTCGTGCACAGCAGCACGCAAGCGACCGTCCCGACGCGCACACGGTGCCAGTGACACCAGACAGCGCATGGGACCAGACCAGCCAGCGCCAGCGGCGTCGGCAGCATCCAGCCCACACCCAGCGTGCGCCAGCGACCGAACCGGTGGTCAGCCAGCAGCCGACCGCCTGGCTGCAGCGAGCCGGCGGTCCGGCCAAAAAATAAACCGACCGGTTTTAGACCGGTTTTTGAACAGTTCAGTGGTTACTGATCCGGTTCGAGTCCAATACAGTATTTCAGTTAATTTTTCAGTCCAGTCAGTCCAGTACACCGGTATCAGTTCAGTCCGGTTTTTCTTGTCAGTTAAGTTAAGTCCCGAGAATATTCCAGTTAAATGTTTAGCCCGAGTCGAGCATCTTAACAGTTATTTTCAGTCAGTCTGAGCATAGTACTTAGTATTTGTTAATTTATATAATTTTTCAGAGTGATCAGCAGCAGCACTTACATTATCAGTTCAGGTGGGGACTCAGACTAAGTATTACATTGAGTATAATTACGGTTATCATGTTCAAGGTATGTATATTCAGTTCCTGCTCAGTGAGGCTAGACAAAGTAAGACCATCTGAGTTCTAGTGGCGTAATCTGCCCACTAGAGTGTGCACATAGGCGCGGCGCAGTATATTATAGCCGCCAGATACAGTATATTATAGCCGCCAGATCGCAGCCACAGTACATGATATGACAGTTCAGCTATATATATGCCTTAAATCATGATATTGCAATTATGATTACTGTTTTACTTTAGTATGAGTTTCTGCGGAGTACAGTGTTTTAGTACTCACGCTCCCACTATTATGTTTCTTTCAGGTGATAGGGTCGGTCCAGAGGAGTGAGCGGAGCTGGTGGTTGCCAGTGCTGTAATTATGTAATTATGCTTTTGCAGACTTATCATATGTAAATTATTTGCCACGTTCTACTTTCGCTGACGTTTTCAGATTTTGAAGCTAGCATGTAAATTTTTGGACTACGATCCGAGCCTTCGGATCAAATTTTATGTGATATTACATGCTTGTTTTATTAAATAACAGTCCATTTTTATAATTAAGTTTAAAAGTTAATAAAGTTGACGAACTTTTAGAAAAGAAATGTTTTATGTAGCGTTCCGAAATATATTTCGCAAAATAAAAGTCAAGCTTTAGAAAAGAATTTGCGAAAATCGTACTCTGATTTTAGTAAGCTAGCGGGGCGTTACAAATTGGTATCAGAGCACATTTTTGTGTATCTGAATACTTTTTAAGTTAGAAAAGACCTGACCACGCTAGGCTCACGCTCCGCCGACTATCAGGTAAGTGCTGAGTTTCAATTTATATATATATTTAAATGAATACTTATGTCTATGCTCAGTATAGGGTACTAGATTATTGACCCTAGAAACCAGTAAGATGCTCGAGTATTTTTCAGAACATAGTCGATTATCTCAGTTATTTGATAGTTCGACTTTAGTATTCTCAGGTTAATTAGCGACTCGTGAAGAAATTTGTGTATTTAAGAAATCAGTCAGTTAATCTGTTGTATTATTAATAATAAACATTTCAATGTTCAGATTCCTCCTCGTAGAGATCCAGAACACCAGGAACGCTCCCAGGCCACAGTAGTCGCACAATTTCGCGACTACCAACCAGAAAAGTTTTCCGGCCAAGGAGATCCTCGTATAGTAGATGAATGGATTCAGGGCCTCGAGATGATTTTCGAGGTCATGGATTGCCCTGATCGTTATCGCATGTTATGTGATCAAATTCAGCTGACAGGGGATGCTCGACTCTGGTGGAATGCTTATTGGAGTATGCACCCCGGTGAGAAAGACGGTTGTACGTGGGACCGATTCAAGGAAATGATCCGAGAGAAGTATTATCCCTCGTATTACCGAGCAGACATGGAGCGCCAGTTCTTGGCACTCGTACAAGGTACTCGTTCTGTTGACGAGTACGGAAGAGAGTTTACCCGTCTCGAAGCCTTTGTGCCTGATCTTGTAGGTACGGAGGCGAAGAGAGCCCATCAATTCACTGACGGACTACGCCCAGCAGTCCGCCACAACATCGTAGGTCACGGCGTTCAGACCTACGCTCGCACAGTTGCCATTGCACAAGAAGTCGATGCCAGTATCCGACGAGAAGCCGCTCAGACACCAGCCAAGTCAGTTGTTCAGCCATCAGCCCTGCCCAAAGTTGATCAACCATCCACCAATAAAAAGAGGAAGTTCAGAGGAGGTCCAAATGATCGCAAGAACCATCCCCGACAACAACCGACTCCACCTTGTGCCACTTGTGGAAAGCGCCACCGTGGAGAATGCCTTGTAGGCCAAAACATCTGTTTCTTCTGCCGTCAGCCCGGTCATATCAGCCCCAACTGTCCTGAACGATTGCAACAACAACCACAACAACGCCAACCACTGCAACAAACTCAACAACAAGCAAGGCAGCAACCACCACGACCCCAGCAGCAGCCACGCGGCAGACAGCAAGCTCGCTTCTTTGCAGTTGACTAGAGGGAGGCCGACCAGCACCCAGGTACCATGTCCGGGATGATTATTCTTAATGATGTGCCTGTTTATGTTTTGTTTGATACTGGAGCAACCCACTCTTTTATATCACGTCGATGTCTCGAAGCTATTGGAGTTTGTTCCACTACCGCTGTCGATCCTCTCGAGGTGAGTTTAGCCTCGGGAAGAAAGATAGTGACTGACGCTAGAGCCACCGATCTCAGCCTTTCCATCGGCGGCCGTATTCTCACTTCTGACGCTTATGTTATCGAGATAAGGGATTTTGACCTCATACTCAGAATGGATTGGCTAACTCGATTTCACGCAGATATACGATGTCACGACCGGGAGATTACTCTTTATCTTCCGGGAGATGATCAGATTACTTATTACGGCTCCAGGACTCGTACTCTGCCACATGTTGTTTCTATGGCGAAAGCCAGAAAGATCCTTCGACGGGGTGATTGCCAGGGTTTCCTTGTAAGCCTCGTTGGAGATGAGCCAAAGGCACGTTCACCTCATGACATTCCTATCGTTCGTGAGTTCGTGGACGTGTTTCCAGACCAGCTTCCTGGAGGTCCACCTAGCCGACAGGTGGAGTTTTCTATTGATCTTATCCCTGGAGCCGGACCCGTTTCAAAGGCACCATACAGAATGGCGCCTAAAGAATTACAGGAATTAAAGACCCAAATTCAAGAGTTGCTGAATCTCGGTTTTATACGACCGAGCGTTTCTCCTTGGGGAGCACCCGTTCTCTTTGTTAAGAAGAAGGACGGATCAATGCGTATGTGTATCGACTACCGGGATCTTAACCGGTTAACGATCAAGAATAAATATCCGCTTCCCAGGATCGATGATTTATTTGATCAGTTGAGGGGTGCCTGCGTGTTTTCCAAGATTGATTTGCGTTCAGGCTACCATCAGCTGAAAATCAAGGAGTCAGACATACCCAAGACAGCTTTTCGTACGAGATACGGTCACTTCCAGTTTGTGGTTATGCCGTTTGGCCTCAGTAATGCCCCGACAGTATTCATGGACTTGATGAATCGTGTATTCCATCCTTTTCTTGACCAGTTTGTTATTGTCTTCATCGATGATATTCTTATCTATTCTAAGAGCCAGAAGGAGCACGAGGAGCACCTGAGGGCCGTTCTTTCGACCCTTAGACGCGAGAAGTTGTATGCAAAGTTCTCCAAGTGCGAATTTTGGCTTCAGCGAGTGGCTTTCCTTGGTCACATTATTACTTCAGCAGGTATCGAAGTTGATCCTTCCAAAATTGCTGCAGTCCAAAACTGGTCAGCACCGAAGAATCCGTCCGAGGTTCGTAGTTTCCTCGGCCTTGCAGGTTATTATTGCAGGTTTATTGAGGGGTTCTCAAAGATTGCCCTCCCTTTATCCCAGTTGACGAGGAAGTCTGTGAAGTTTGAATGGACAGACCGTTGTGAGTCGAGTTTTCAGGAGCTGAAATGGAGGCTTACGACGGCACCGGTGTTGACTATTCCAGATCCTTCTCGGAGCTTCACTATCTATGGTGATGCTTCGAGGCAAGGTTTAGGATGCGTACTTATGCAAGATGGCCAGGTCGTTGCTTATGCTTCACGCCAATTTAAACCACATGAACAGAACTACCCGACGCACGACTTGGAGTTAGCTGCAGTTGTTCATGCCCTCAAGATTTGGCGACACTATCTATACGGCGGTCAATGTGAAATTTTCACCGATCATAAGAGCCTACAGTATATCTTTACTCAGAAGGAACTCAATATGAGACAGCGCCGTTGATTAGAGCTCGTCAAGGATTACGACTGTACAATCCAGTACCATCCGGGGAAGGCGAATGTAGTTGCTGATGCCCTAAGCCGCAAGGTAAAGGGTGATTTGACATACATTGTTACTCAGCAGATTCAGTTGATTCATGAGTTTGCCCGGATGCAGATCCAGTTGATTGATGCACTTCCTACAGCCAGTACGGGGAGTGTGAGTTCTATGCAAATTCAGCCGACGCTGAGGGAGAGGATCCGGCAAGAACAAGTTTCAGATGAGTTTATTCGTACAATTGATGCCAAAGTTCGTGCCGGAGGCGTCGAAGGTTTTCACCGAGGCACTGATGGGGCCTTGGAGTTTCGTGGCAGGATTGTGGTGCCGAAAGTCGAGGCATTGAGGAAGAAGATTTTATCTGAGGCTCATACCGCACCCTATCTAGCCCATCCAAGAAGTACAAAGATGTATCACGACCTGAAAGGGTCATTTTAGTGGCAAGGATTGAAGAAAGACGTAGCCGACTTTGTAAGAAGATGCTTAACCTGTCAACAAGTCAAAGCCGAACACAAGAGTCCCATAGGCCTTCTACGACCACTGCCAATTCCGAGGTGGAAGTGGGAGGAGGTTGCGATGGATTTTGTCACAGGGTTACCGAAGTCATCTGAACATGATGACGCTATTTGGGTTGTGGTCGACAGATTGACTAAAGTAGCTCATTTCTTGCCAGTATCAATGAGTATGTCTTTGGATAGGTTGGTTGAGATTTATGTCTGTGGGATCGTTCAACTCCATGGAGTATCTGTTACTATCGTGTCAGACAGAGATCCCAGATTCACCAGTAGATTCTGGAAGAGTTTACACGAGGCGATGGGTACGAAGCTAGCATTCAGTTCAGCCTACCATCCCGAGACAGATGGACAGACGGAGCGAACTATTCAAACACTGGAAGATATGTTGCGCGCTTTGGTTGTTGACAGGGGTGCTAAATGGGAGTCGTTATTGCCGTACGTCGAGTTCGCGTACAACAACAGTTATCATTCTTCTATTCAGATGGCTCCTTATGAGGCACTATACGGACGTAAATGTCGTTCCCCTCTTTATTGGGACGACGTCGGTGAACGTCGAGTACTCGGTCCGAAGCTGATCGAGGAGACAGCCGAGCAAGTTGAGTTGATCCGGCAAAGACTCAAAACAGCTCAAAGTAGAATGAAATCAACCGCCGATCATCATCGACGAGACATCCAGTTCGAGGTTGGCGAGCATGCTTTTCTCAGAGTTAGTCCTATTCGCGGAGTTATTCGATTCGGGAAGAAAGGGAAGTTGCACCCTCAGTTCATTGGCCAGTTCGAAGTACTCGAGCGAGTGAGCAATGTTGCGTATCGTCTAGCCTTACCTTCCGAGTTATCCAGTGTTCACAATGTCTTTCATGTATCTATGTTACGCAAGTACGTGTGCGACCCCGATCACGTTATTCCTCATACTGATATTGAGATCCATCCAGACTTATCTTACAAGGAGCGACCGGTAGCTGTGTTGGACCGACAAGTTCGACGGCTCCGGAAGCGTGATGTTCCCCTTGTTTGTATCCAATGAGATCGCCACGGAGCCACTTGGTAACAAGAGGCAGACATTCGCGCTCATTTTCTCGACTTTCAGTTCTGATATGTATATTTTCATGTATATAAGTTTTGTTTTATATTTCCGAGGATGGAAATATTTTAAGGAGGGTAGATTGTAATAACCCAACTTCTTGTTAATAATAATGATATATTATCTTTTATCGATTTTGTTCTTTTTCAGCGAATACGTTCGACGTTAAGTCGAAAAGTTTATACGGTTAATTACTAACCGAGTTAAATTCGATAATTAATTTCCGTACCGTTTATTTTAAAAACAGATGTTATTAATCGGGATTAATTGCCAAGTTAGGAATGTTCGGAATTAAGTTTGGAATCGAAATCGAATTAAGTTTCGAATACACGCAAGGTGCATTGCGCACGCATGTCGTGCGCATAACAGCGCACGCATACTCATAGCACGCGCATACACGATAAGTAGCACCCGTAACGCCCGTCATTAGGCACTAAGCGCATGCTTAGCACTCGCTAAGCATGAAGATCAGCGGATCAACCAAACACTTAAGAGCACCGTGTGGAAAATTCAAAGGAAGGAAAATGGAGACAAGTTGCTCGGATGACTCACCTACTAGCTAAACACATGGCGCGCCACGAATGCGTTAGGGATGACAAGGACTCGTGCATGCGTGACACCTCGGTGATGACTAAGCCCAACACGCCACTCATCAGCACCTGATCAAGACACTTGGCAGCAACCGGAAGCTTGTCGTCTCCCACCTCTTGACCGAGAGATTGGACCCAAAAATTACCCTCGGTTTGACCAATTTACTTAGCCATTCGTATGGAATTTTCCCATACATTTTCTCATGTAAAAATCGAGTGAACTTCAGCAAGAATAGAGAAGAATAGAGTAAGGAAATATTATAGAAAAATCGCCCAAAATTAGTTAAGCAAGGCCGAAGCAAAGGAGAAGCGGGTACGCATGCCTACAAGCACCGAAACCGCACGCAAGCTGTCGTGCCATCCTCGACCGAACGGAAAAGTATACCCCTATTTAACCTCTTTTTATATAGTTAAGTCCATCTTATTGAGGTCATGTTAAAATCATGTTGTTTAGTTCGAGCTTCACGTGATAATGTCCTCAGAAATGCTATACAAGTCTCCCCCGAGTAACTTTGATTTTAATCAATAAGTCTCGAACACTTTTTGCATAATTAAGTTATTCAGGTCAAAACATGTTCAGTTATAAGTGATCGTCGGGAAAAAGTAACCTGACGGCCGGCGAAACGCCGACCGTGACGCCTACCGCACGCGGAGTGCGCGCAGGCGTGCCCAGCAAGCCCAGCGAGTACACAGGCAGCGTGTGCGTGCCCAGTAACGCGCACGCATACGCAGTACTCGGCAACTAAGCGTCGCGATACCGCAGTCGCGTGCATAGACGTGCATAGTGCACGCACGCACACTCGACAACGCGTTATCACGACCGTTCACGTAGTCCGCGTTTACAGCGACACGCTGCTCGCCCAGCAGCGTGCCCCGCGGCGCATGTACGCGTGCCAACAGCGCTCCACGCATGTTGGCTGAGCAACTACGCGTGCCAGTACGCCCAACAGCGTACCAGCGATGCATGACGAGTCTCGGTGATGCCCGGCAGCACAC